GTATTCATTTTAAAAATAGTAAAATTAGCAAAATTTTTAGTTTTTTTTTTACAATTAAAACGTTTGGACAATGTGTGTTTTTATAGATAAATGATACGCCACTGAACAAGAAGGATGTTTACCTTCCCCCTTATGCCCGCTTCGTCACTTCCTCTACAGATGTTGCTAACACAACATTCGCCTACAAACTCGTTTCCACGCTCCCTCTATTAGTAATTGCTCTGAGGTACAAATCATGCGCTGTATACAATTTTTGTGTATCAGCAATATTTATCTAGTATAAATTTGACAAATGACATGACACCAAGAGAAAGCAAAGGCCTTTTTTCTATCTGATTTGTCGCAAATTTCTGCTTCTTTTTATCTGTTATAAATTTAAGACGTAAATCCGTTAAAATGTCCTTAATTAAACCTATTTTTGAATAATATTTTTAAATAAAATTAACTAGTAAAAATATTATTAAAAACACGTTTAAAACTCAAACATCTTAAAAACTATTCTAAGAACACAACTGACGTTTTACACATTTCTTCAGTAACCAAAATTTTGTTGACTGCCGAATTGCATATATCTTATTAGGAAAAAGATTATTAAAAAAAGGGATACTAATGCTAATTATAAAACGAGTATAAATACCTTGTTTGAATATTTAGTCCAGTTTAATGTTTGATCATATTAATAATACTAATACTAAGGGAGTATAAATAGACCCTTAGTATTAGAATTCCGACCTAAAATCTACCTACTTGCAAGTTGAACCTATCTAGCAGTTAGTTAGTACATTGAAAAATGCGCAAGTGCATAACTGAAACAAGTGTGTTTAGTCTAATTTTAAGTTTTTATAGTCTGTTGCAATAATTTATAGTAGAAAATGGTCTCGGTTTAAACATCAAGGAAGGTTGTGTATTAGCCGGAACAGGGACAGTGCTCCCAAATGGACTTTAAAAATTAATGTTTTCTGTTTGGGGAACAAACATAATAATATTAATATTTCGTAAGATTGTTTTTAGTTTTCCTAAAGACCCTAACCTTAGCAATAAGTGGTTGCATCTTAGCAAGAGGAAACTTAATATAAAAAACCTTTCCCGCGAGATTCGCGCCAAAAATTCCAGAGATCAATTTTACAGCGAAAGTAAAGATACATGAAATTAGTCATTTTATATTATTAATTATTTTTCTGATCCGAATATTAATAAACATCTTTTGTATTGAACATTTTGTTGTAGCTGTAAATGCGTAAAGATGCCATAACACGACGTGTGGAGTGCCGCGCCCGGCGCGTGGAGTGTCGTTCCATGCGCCATGAGAATGGTCCGGCGTGCCGATCTCCGCGCGACGTGCCATGTCCCGTCTAATGTCGGTAAAATTTGCACACTTTAAATGAAAAGTCGACGAGGGGACATATTCAAATAAAGATCAGCGACCCGCGCGGCTCGAAGCTTGTCAATCCACACGCCGTGTGATCGCAATCGCTCTAACGCGCATCGGCGCGGCACTCCACGCGCCGTCCGCGGCACTCCATACGCCGTCTAATGGCATTTTTACAGAGAAAATAAGCACTCCCGTCTCTCTAATGAGAGTCAGGCTATGAGTGACGTCATGCGCATGGCAGACGAAAACTGAACACGGGAACATCCGGCCCGGGGTAGTATTGGTGTGGAATTTACCTACTCACTTTAGTTTAGCTTCAAGGTTTATGCGATTTGGTTGAGGTATCAGTACTATATAGTTAAAATAAGTAGTGAAAATGAATGAGGTCGTTATTGTTCAACAGTGTTCTTCCGAAATAAATTTGGACAAACAGGAAACAGGAAAACAGAAGCGTTGTCACATTTCTAGTGATGCGAAGGCAATAGTTCTAAAGGTTTATTCTGGTGAGTAATTATAATAATTATTCTAATATTATGAATCCAGGAAGAAAAGCGTTAATAAAAAGCCGGGGAAAAACATTTTGTGCATGTAACATTATTAGACGGAGAGCTGGCGACACAAAGACTCGGTAAAGTCAAAATTTTGTTATTTACAGTTTCGATTGTTACCAACATAGTGAGAGACGGGCAGTCTGAAGTCACCCTGGAAGTATAAAGTAAGGGTAGGGGGTAAAACAGGCAATTTTTGGCAAAATAAGCTCTCAAAATTTGCAGAATTATCGGAGATAATATAAAAAAGCAGGGAAAAAATTGTCAGAAGTCTAGGCGGAAGAATAACGGAGATGGCGGTAGTGAGAGTGCCGGTGCTCCACTCGATCCATCATTATATCTGGTATTTTAAAGTTTATTCCATCCAGTTCACTTCTGACGATTTATCAACATTATTTTAAAATATCTTAGTACTCCATTGGTCAACTGGCAGAAGTCAATTAGGAAGACGTTAGTTTTTTTTGGATAGTTTTTCTTTATACCGGGGGGTGCCAATACCGCACCCGAGGTTTTATTTTGATATTTATCACTGTGGTTCTTTTAATACCAGTTCTCAACCGTTTTATTTCAGGATACCGTAGGGTACGAGGTATAAGGGAGATAAGTGTCTTAATCTTAATTTAGTGGCAACCTCGTTAACAGTGACCGCCACTCAGTTTTTCTTGAGTATACTTTGGTGTACTACAGGGTAGCAGAGCAAACTGCGTTACCAAAATTGGCGCCCGAGCAGCCCCTATTCTGCATTCACCATCTTAGCGCCATACATACTTCCTCATTCACTGTAGGTGAAACCAGAAGCCTGTCACAGTAGACAGTATTCTCAAATGAGATAAAGCTACAATTTTAAAATAAAAAAATAAACATTAAATATTATTCCAAGGAGTTCGCAAAAATAATACTGTGGAGATGTATGGACTGGTGGTAGCTATATTACGATGTTTCATTGACACAATCACAGGAAACTTGAGAAAAAATGGAGGACACTAGAGTAAACTGAAGGAAACCTCAACTTGTCGAATATCTTAAACTACTTGTGTTGAACTACTGCGTAATACTGTTGGGCGGAGAGTAGTATCTAATACGCAAGAGCAAATGAATAAGCAATTTGGTAAACAAAAACAAAAAAATTAAATAGACTGCTGCTATATTATTAGTTGATCCAGAGTAAGAAATTAAACTCATTTGGTAAATAGGTAGACATCTGTACGATACAATTAATAACTGCCAAAAAAGAGCAAAAAAATGTGTAGTTACTGAAGTAGAGACCAATAAATAAAAGAAAATAATTTGAAAATAATTACAATTTAGACATTTAGCTATGTATGACAGATATTTATTTATTAGTTTTATTAAAATCAAATAGATAATTAGATACCAAGATTAATAAAGTAGAACTGAAATATAAAGAAAAATTATTAATTAACAAAATATCACTAGTTAAATTAACATTTATTTAAAACCAAGTTTAATAATTCAGAGTAACAAAAATATTTGGGATACAGTGTTGGGCCATTATGTCGAGATCATATCAGAACAGAAAACTCATCATCCAGGAAGTTAAACATTAGCGAATCACCTCAGGGAAGGAAGCGAATAATATCGTCAGAAAGCCGGAAACAAACTTAGTTCATTAGGGCAACCATATAATATTTACTATTTGAGGTTCTATATTTCACTGCATGAATTAAAAAAAAATAATTAAAAGATACAATAAAATAAAATAAAAGCAGTTTGGTTTAAACATAACATTTTTCCTTGCGTTGTAGCTTAAATATTTTGTTACATATCGGTACTTTACGAAAAATCGGAAAGAGTAACAGTAGAATCGCAAGTTGATCTGAGAATTGCAAACTTAAATTTACAAATAATATCGACAATCAAATATTTTAGAACGTTTTGCATAATTAAAAAACTAATAAAGCATAGTAAGCTACGTTATTACGAGTCATGTTTAGTTGACCGATTTTAGTTGGTTAAAATAAGTTTAATGAAAACTGCAGTGAGAACCTTTGGTTTCAACACAGTTAACCAACTTTATTGTTGATCAAGAAAAGTTTGACCTAATCAAACTTCTGCTGTTTAGGCGAACAGTCATCACGGATCGCTTTCAGGTTAAAACTTGTCTTGAAACGTGTGTCAACTCTTATCGACCATGTACTACGCTTGTGAATGGTCGCTGCGTAATAGACTGGGAGCCGAGAGGGTTTTTGCATGTATCATAGGCCCCACACCGATGCTTTGAGGGGTAATAGACAATGTTATTGCCCACTTTGAATTCCCGGTATGGCACCCCTAAAGTGTATCTTTTAAGGGGGGTGAATTTTCAAACGTGTAATTAATATCCATCCCACTGGATCATATGCCCCAATTTTGAACTCAATATGCTATACCGGTATGACGTCACTTAAGGTCCGCCATACTTACTGAAACGTGTAATTTGTCCACTGCAGACATGGATCATTAGCCTCACGCTGTTGTTTCGTGATCATTGTTAATAATGAACTATAGAACAAATATTTCAGAACGCCATACCTCTGGCCGCGGTATGAAGTCTAGCGCTGGTCATATAGAGACAAACGCGCCGCTTCGAGAAGCTACCAAAGTGGTCCCTTTGCGGCGTATGAGTCATAGAGAGGCAGTTTCCGATCGTTCTGGGTCGCCTAGAGTGTTCTGGTACAAGCTGGCTTTGAATAAATAGCCCGAGTTTATCAACGGACTAGAAGATTCAGTTTAAGTCTTGGACAGTAAAGACAAATTGTAATAAATAAATTAGAATTGTAAGTTATAATAGTGTCCAAGTATTATATAAATTAATTAATTAATTGTAAATAGTGTTTTAAATAAATAAACTATAAATAAATTAAACAAACGTTACATTAACCTTGCTCGATGGTTTGAGTCGTTTCCTGTTCCTCTTGGTTACCCTCCTCAGTCTCAATATTTTGCAGAACCATTTCATGCATGGTTTTTGGCATAGCTTCACCGTCAAACCACTAGAAAGTATAGCCATCGTCAGACAAATCCCAACCATGATGGGAAGTATTTTCGTGCACTGTTGGAACTTTCAAATTAGCGTTACACTAAATGTCGGCAACGTAAGATACTCGAAATAGTTGTTGATATAACTCAGCTTTGCATGCTGGAATAGTCGAGGTATCAAAGTTTCGTAATGTCTTGTTGAATGATTGTTTATCACTCTTCATGCTGTATGATTTTAAAAATAGAGTCAATCTGACTTCGTTTACGTCGTTGGTATAGTTTTGACCATACAACCTGCAATGTTTCGTACGAATCGATGTATGACTTGGTTATTCTATATAATAGAGGAATAAAAAAATAAAAAACAAACCTTCTTACAAATCGTTCAAGCACGCAAAAGCTTTCTTCATGTTGCGAATAAAAGCATCTTGGAATTCCTCATTCTGCAAAACAATTTGCAACGGCTTCTTCTTTCCTTTGCGGTACGAAGTTGGGATATACCCACTAAGCAAGAAACATATTTGTGACGTTTGGTTACGTTAATTTAAAATAGGTCTTGAAATGTTTTCCTCTAAACATCTTATTGATGTAACCATTACGAATTTCTTTAACGTTTTAAGAAAACAACGTTGTTGGAATGTTAAATTTAAGCATGTGTTTTTTACAAAACGTACTAAAAAAGGAGCATCCATGTTAGTTTAAAAAACGTTAATTTTTAACATTGGACACATGTTTTGTATCAACTTCTTTGCTATGTTGTAAACGAAACGTGATGGAAACATGGCATTCATGTTAGTTTAAAAATAGTTTATTTTTAACATCGGAGAAATATTTTGTATCAACTTATTTGCTATGTATTAAACGAAACGTGATAGTAACATAGCATTCATGTTAGTTTAAAAACAGTTTATTTTTTACATCGCCATCGAAACGAAAATCGCCATTTTAACGTTGTTAAGCGTGTATAACACCTGTGAATTGTGTACCTGTGTAAAAAAATGTGAAATTCTGTTTATTTTTTCTTTGTTGTAATACTTGTAATATTATCAGAATAATTATCTTGTTCTGGTACATTTCTCTGAAGAAGATGGATCGTAAAGTAAGTAAACATATTATTATTTTACGTATCTAATAAAGTGCCGGGCAGTGTCAACAAACAATAATGAGGTGTTTATGTAGTAATGTAATTAATGTAATAATTGTTTTTTTGTTGTTAAAAGACACTAGCCTAATCCAAGGTAAGGTCAGCTCTACCGGCGGTGCTCTCAGCTCTTTTATCATCGCTGACAAAACTTTTTTTAGGTTATGTTTTTATTTGAAAAAAAAATAGTTAACGGTTTAATCCGGGTTGGGTTGGTGTATTTTAAGAAAAATAAAATCAAAACAGCATAGAACAAAACAATAAATTCTAACAAAAAATTGTCACCAGCAACAAAATTCCTTCCACCTTGGCAATTGCTAATTTTATGTTTTGTGTTTTAAACTTTATACCTGAGTCTACTTACACAATCTGGCCATATTTTCTTCTCACTTATTCTATTTTGATGCATAGTTCAAGCCTTCTTTATCTTGACAGTTGCTTATTCACAGTGTCGGATTGGGACCTCTAGGGCCTACTTCTAGGAGGGAGAAGGACTCATCTTTTTCATGGCCTCTCACGTATTATAGGGTTTCTTGCATAATTTGGGCCCGCTGCCTAACCGAGAGCCTACTGAAATGAACTATTTTCTATTATTTTTTCTTAAGAATTTTAGGTGATTTCTCTGAGAATTTCACCTCAAGTACCAGCAGCAGTGTTAATAAAATATGTTTTGATTTATTTCCTAGATATTCATTTTATTGAAATATTTTTAAATTTTTAGTAAATCATGGCTATTACCATATTCAGGAAAATGATCCACCAAATCACTGTTCTTTGGTTGCCGAGGAAAGGTTGGTGTTTTTTTCTTTTTTTATCCAAGATTTTATTCTATTTATGTTTTTTCCAGCCCAAAGAATATATCCATATATAATTTGGCCTCATATAATTTTTTTTCTCATTTCAGGGAAGGAGTTGAAAATGAGCACCCAATTTTGGCAGATGTAATAGAAGGGTCACCCAAACAAATTATGAATAAACTTAATGCCTTAGAGAAGAAAATGAATTTTATGATTATTCAATTGAATGCTTTGGGATGTATGAGCCGGTCTAGTGATTTAAAAGAAATTGATTTTTCACAAAACTGCCTGATCTTCCACTGCAAACCCTTTCCCATATATTGTAATTTGAAAATGTTCTCAAAAGTTTCACAGAAACTTCTAAATAACTGGTGAGAAAACTATGAAATATTAAAATTTTTCGAAGAAATCCTTATAGGTACTATCAATCTGCATTTCTAAAAATACAGAACATACTACCGAAATTAAATGCAACTAATTAAAATAACCAGTATACTATGAGTCATGATTCATAAGAAAAGCCGCAAAAGGATAATTAGCTTTAACTTTTAATATACAAGTCCAGACCAGTATTTAGATTTTAAATTCTCTATCTTATTTTTTGAAAAAGTTGTTTATTTTAATGACTTCTATACACAGTAAAAAAGTATCAACTTAGGATTCACCCTGTAATATATATAACCATTTGAAAATTTATTTGCTTTCGTATATGAACATTTCACATTTGCAATATGTATTTTTTTTGTTTTTCTCAGTTCAAATTCTAGAAATTTCAGAGAAAATCTTGGATTTTTTTTTTGTATTTTTTTTGCTATAACCTGTAATTATCGTGGGTCAAAATATATTTAAACTCTACGATTGGTTAGTTAAGAACGTTTTTTAACCAATAATTAGATTTTCCTTTTGTAGTATAATAAGTATCTACAAGTTGCCGGACGAAATGGGCCAGAATTCGTTTGAAAAGTTCTGGTAACTGTGTTTGACAATAAATTGGCGATACATTGTTCCTGGACTGGACAAAAAAACGATAACAGAATTCGAGAATGCAAGAGTATCAATGTTTTAAAAGGTTTCAAATCAGCATTACAAATTAAAAAAAAAATGTATAGTTTTTCACTTTTAGATGCAGCGCAACATATTCACACAATAACTGACAAAGAGTTTGAGGTGGTGATTATGGATTGGTTCAGGCAGGCTAATCAACGTCTGAAGCGAGAGAGCAGAGGAATTGGTAAAATAAATATTTTAAACAGTTTAGCACAATCGGGCGATAAATTCATTTTACTGCCCACATTTCTGGGCGGTAAGTAATAATTATTTGTTGGATTATTTTTTAAACATGCCAAATGGATGTCAATATTTAAAATTTTTATGCCTTGAAATTTAAAAACTCGATTGTGTTAGAAACTTAATTTGTAGGTACTTTGGGCGTTAAGTGTAGATATTTACCAGTCAAATAATATTGAAAAACTTCGAATTCTATTATTGAACAGTAAACTGCAGTCACCGCCTTTCATACTCAAATAATAATTATAAATATCTTAAATTCTTTATAATTTATTTTTTTTTCAGAGTGACCAGTAGCAGCAAACAAAAAAACAATTTTTCAATAAGAGGTAAATTTAATTCATTTTCAATGCACTTTTTTTTTTAATTTGTTTTAATCCACTTCAACTAATATTCGATGATTAGGTTACCTCAATGTTGATGACTTAATTTCAAAAGTTTTTTTTTTCAGGTATATTGCTCTTAAAAATGTATTTTCATGTACCCATTATGTTATCTTTGTTTCAAAAAAGTATATGTATTTATTTAAATGAATGTTTTATTATTATTATTATTATTATTATTATTATTATTATTATTATTATTATTATTTTTTTTTTTTTTTTTTTTTTCACCGGAATTTACGCCGGGTGTGTCTCAACGACAGTCGGCCTCAACAGCAAGACTTTCGTTGGGTGTCACTATTCTAGAAATGACCTAACAATGTTTGTCGCATCCAGGATTACAGACTTTTGCATTATTCGATAGGTTGCCTCAGGAATATCAATGTCTTTAAGAGACCTACTTAGTTTTTTAGGAATTAGCCCCATACAGGACAGAACAACTGGAACAATCTTGACTTCGTTAAGGTTCCACATTTCTTTTATTTCTGTCTTTAGCTCAGCATATTTGTTAAGTTTTTAATTATATTTTATTTCTATGTTAGAGTTGTTTCGGATCGATATATCAATAAGCAGAGCTTCCTTAGATTGTTTTTTAATGATTATGATGTCCGGCCTGTTGTGTCGTACTGTTACGTCCGTCATGATAGTTTTGTCCCAGTAGATCTTAACATACTGATTTTCTATAACTGGAGGGGGCTTGTATTTGTAGTATGGCTCACTATTTTGAGGGTCAAGGTTAAGTTCTTTCAGTATTTTTAAGTATACTATTGTGGCAACTTTGTTGTGTCGTTCCAGATATTTGGTTTCAGCCAGGCTTTGACAGCTAGCCAGTATGTGTTCTATTGTTTCTTGATTTTTGTTGCATTTTCTGCACCTATCTGTGGGTATGTCTTCCTTCAGGATATACTTTTGGTAATTCCTCGTTTTTATAACCTGATCTTGTATACCAACCATAAAGCCTTCAGTTTCTGGAAAAAGCGTTCCAGTTTTAAGCCATTCAACGGATTTAGCTTGGTCTACTGCATCTTTCTGTAAGAAATTAGGAAATCGTCCGTGCAATTCTTTTGAGCGCCAGTTTAGAATTTTATCTTAGTCAGTTTTTGTGTCAAAGGGCTTATAGTTTTCCACGCTTAGGTTTAAGGGTGTGTAACCTGTATCTGTTCTCACTATGGCTTGATGAAGTTTATTATTTTGGTGACGGAAAAACTTTCTTAAGCCGATAATTTGCTGTGTGCAAGCTTCCACAACATCTCTTATTCCTCTACCTCCTTTTTCTCTAGGTAAATTTACCCTTTCAACGGACGCTTTTGGATGGTGTTTTCTATATTTCGTAAGCTCTGTTCTGATCTTTCTGTTTATTGCTTCTAAATCCGTTTGGGTCCATTTAACTATTCCGAAGGAGTATTGAAGAGCAGATATGGCATAGCTATTTATGGCTGTGGTAAGGTTTCTTGAGTTTAGTTTGCTTTTTAGAAGGTTATTATTATTATTATTATTATTATTATTATTATTATTATTATTATTATTATTATTATTATTATTATTATTATTATTATTATTATTATTATTATTATTATTATTATTATTATTATTATTATTATTATTATTATTATTATTATTATTATTATTATTATTATTATTATTATTATTATTATTATTATTATTATTATTATTATTATTATTATTATTATTATTATTATTATTATTATTATTATTATTATTATTATTATTATTATTATTATTATTATTATTATTATTATTATTATTATTATTATTATTATTATTATTATTATTATTATTATTATTATTATTATTATTATTATTATTATTATTATTATTATTATTATTATTATTATTATTATTATTATTATTATTATTATTATTATTATTATTATT